CTTATGTTTTTTTTTTTTTTTTTATGGTTCGCGGTGCAATCATTAAGGCATCCCGTCCTCGCTATTGGATACGGGTGACGGAATGCCTATACAAGAGGGTACATGGAGGACGCAATTTAGATCCAATATTTGAGGAGCATTACGGCCGGATACTGCAACAAAACATCTTATGTTTAATATGGATATTGTCTTAAAACAAATCATGATTTGTAATATTAAGTCTAATTCGAAATGCTTTAGTAATTAGATGGAATGGTGAGAAATTTTACACCTTGCTTGAATAATAAAGTTTTATTTCAGTAGGCTATGTTTAAGTTCAACAGTAGAGAAATTTATGATTCAAATAATGATAAGGGTTACCATATTTTAACTAAATTTCTCGCCACTCGTTCAAAGAAAGAAAAATCACCTGGATCTTCATGTGGATCCTAGTGAATTGAGGTCTAATTTTTTAAAGCAGATCAAATAGGCTTTATATACTGATATAGCTAGATATATATTTTATTTACATTATGCAATATATACATATTAATCTCTATTGATTAAATATTATTATAAATTCATTTCAGTGTGACTTGAGATCATAAATATTTCAACACAAAACTGTTAACATTTACATAACTTTTTAATTACATAATAAAATAATACAATAATCAAACATATTTAAAATTTTACGAGTAGGTTTACGTAGTAACTGTTATATCATATTTATAATTTCATATTTCATACACAGATTGCACAGTTTTAGAGCACGTTTTTAATTGGACGCGTGTTTTGTAACTTGAATATAGTGCTAGAGTACGCAACGTCTTTACATATTAACTCACAAAACAGTTGTATGATACAGCATTTAGAACACTTAATGCCACTAGTTTATCATTACGGGATTAATGGGCTTGTTGTATATATATATATATCAAAAGTTTTCAGAAGGTTTTATAACATTCCCCAAAATTATATATATATATATATATATATATATATATATATATATATATATATATATATATGACACGATAAATGTAACGTAAGAATATAATAGAACCTAAATACTTTTATCACGATTGATGATGTATTGCACTTGAAAAAAAGATACAACGATTGGTTTAACAACTTGTTAGCAAAGGTGGGCTTATCTCTAAAAGAGACATCTTACAGCCAACCCAATGCAGTTAGAGATAAAATTAAAAAAGATATAAAAAAGATGTTAAAAGTCTGTTACCCATCCCTGTTGCCTATAGAATGAACAGTGAGTACTATGGGCATATGTTTTTCTTTAATGTGTTAATCTCTCTACCATTGCCTCCGTACATTATTGATAATTATCAAAGTTTAAGATTTTATATCGAGATTGTTATAGCAATATAAAATTATGTAATTAAATTTAAAGATATTTAATTTGTACTTACTTCACATGAATATAAGTAATAATATATTGTTCGTAGTAAAACTCTCATTTGAATAAAACTTTACTGAAAATGTTTCTGACCAAGATTGATATACCCAAATATACATATATGAATCTAAATTGTACATAACCTTTATCATATTAATTAATAAAATAAAAAAAAGGCAGATATGACTACGTACAGTACGTCTTGTATACGTGAAAACATATAAACGATTTATAGATTTATATATGTTCATTTTTAGTTTTAAAAATACTGTTTCTTTTTCGAAGAAAATAAAATACGTAAAATAAAAATAAAGTAGGTATCTTTCTTGATGGAAGTTGTTCAGTATCATAATGATTGTTTTTTTGTTATACAAATGCCTCTGACTGCCCTATTAGGGATGTTAGCCGTGAGCTTATTTTTTTTTATACAACATAGAATGGCAAACAAGCTGACGGCCCACCTGATGGAAAGTGGTAACCGTCGCCTATAGACATGAGCAATACCATGCTTATATATATTAGAATTTTAATTAGGTAATAAATATAACTTACAATACATATTCATATATAAAAGGTCTTATTATTTATTTTACACATTGTAGAATAATTGATAAATACAAAGACTATGTACTTCAAAGCAAAAATATTGGTAATTTATATATTTAGCTATTCTATTTCTTCTTCGCACGTGTAAACCTATTATCTCCCGTTCCCGTGGCAATTTCCGTAGGAAATATTATTTATTTTATACATAAAAAGTGTAGCTACCTATATTTCTATTAGACAAGAATTTTTACAATGGGTTTAGTAGCTTTGGAGATCACGTATCCTGACAGAACTATATAAATGGAGAGATTACCTCTTTTATAATATTAGTGTGAATTATGTTACTCTATTCTGTTCTATAAGTAGGTGGGCTATTTTAAAATTTATATTCATTCGACACAACAAATAAAAATTTATTTTAAATACACAATCGGGACTTAACACGGTGTAAAAGCCTTTACAGGTAAATAGTACCTACATATTTACTTTTTTTTAGCTGACGTTTCTACGTGGATTGTCCTGGCATGACTACGATGTTAAGTCCTGATTGTGTATTTAAAATATGTGTAAACAACGCGAAAGTTTAAAATTAATTAAATAAAAATGTATTGAAACCTAATCCAATTGAAACTTTATCTAAATTACCTGAGCAATTTTTGATTCCTTCAAATATTTTATAATATTGCTGTAGATAAATTGATAAAAAAAAAAAAGTAATCTTATATCAGTGGTACCTCTATTCAATTTCGTTTAGGTATTGATTTCTTAATCAGAATTCAATCCAATACTAGTAAATTATATTAGACTAACTTCATTTCATACGTACAAATTGAAAAAGGTAATTCACAGATTACTAGATGATCAAATTTGGGTTTTCAATGAATATAAAGCTTCTCGTCTTTGTCAACCGACTTCCGCAAAGAAGGAGGTCTGTCTCTAATACTGTTCTATCTACTTAACCCAGATAAGCCTACTGTCCTATATTTAGGACAGTAGAAATAAAAAAAAATATCAGAATACCCTCTTTATCTAAGATTATTTAGTCTTATGATTTGCAGTAAGAAACGTGTCAGCTTTATTAGAAAAAATAAAAAGACAGTTATTTTAACAGTTTTTACCTTATATTTTACCTTATAAGTGTGTAATAAAAGTGCGTTGCAGACATGGCAAATGACAGGTATGTATAAAAAGTTTTATTTTACTCGTGAGTTGTTTTTTCTGTGTTAATATCTAGTTGATAACCTTAACTTTTGTACTAAATAAATATTCTAGCAAAATAATATAAATAAATTACGTATAACTTGTTACAAATACTAGCGTACTATATATAGGACAGTAGGATAATATACATGATTTTAGTACAATAATACAACTTTTTCTTTACAGACCGTTAGCTGCGCATGAAATTTTAGATGCTTTAGAAAATGTTTCTGATAATGAAGAAGATTATAGAGAACGACTGATATGTATTCTACCTCCTCCTGTTGATCCTGACTGTCTCACTGACGAAGATTCGGGTGAAGAAGATAATGTAACTTTGAATAATTTGCCACGAAACATTCTGCTTCAACCGGCTGAAGTAATGATTCAAGGGCAGATTATGGTGAGTGATACAGAAGAAGAACCTTCTGATTCTACAGGTCGAACTAAACGTAGGCGTACCTACGCATGGAGAAAACGGGACTTGGCAAAAAATCCCGTGAATTGGCCAGATGTTCAAGGCGCTTGCCAAGATAAGCGCCCAATTGAGTGGTTTGAAAACTTCTTAGATGAAGATGTTATTTCGTTGTTGGTATCAGAGAGCAATAAATATGCTGTCAAAAAGAATTTGCCTGGAGACATAACCACTGAAGATATGAAATGTTTCATCGGCTCGTAGAAGAATGTATTGGGAAAACTCCCCTGATACAAAGAATGAATTGATCAGCTCGGCTATGACTAGGGATAGATTTGACTTTATTTTTCGCCACCTTCATGTCAATGATAATTATTTGCAAGACAAATACACAAAAGTACGCCCCCTAGTTACACTTCTAAATAAAAAGTTCTTAGAGTTTTCTCCTCTTGAAGAGCATTACAGTGTAGATGAGGCCATGATACTATGGTAGACATGGCTGCAAACAGCACATAAAAGGTAAACCTATTATTTAAGCTTTTGGTCACATGTTGTATGTACTATCATATATGTTGCATGAAACATATATATTTTATTTGGAAATGTGGTCCAAGGAGGCAATCCAATATAAACTAGCTTTACTTGAATTAATTTTATATAACCGACAAAACAAGTTGTTCTCTGATAAGTGAGAACGATTGACACTGACAAGATTAATTATCATTATAAAAAAAAAGGTTTATATTTCTATATGTCCTTTGTGGTGAAACTGGTGATAGTCGATGGAATAACTTAATATTTTTTTCCAAATCCTATTTCCATGGAAGAGTATTATTATATACTTTTTATATTGAAGTTCCTACAAAAAAGGAATGGAAAATGGAGTGTGTGATATTACATTCATAAAAGTGTTAATCTAGTAAATTACATATAACAATGGGTAATATAATCAATAGTTATCTAATAAACTACACTTTTTGATTAATTCTGTTTTGTCATAAATGGTCTTTTATTTCCTCTTATTATCCTACTGTCCTACATATACCGAAAGCCTTACACTTAATTTTTTTTTTCATATTTTTTTTTATGTTGCATAAGATCTAATAAACTAAATAATGTAACTTTTTTCAAAATTTTCAGAAAATTTTAGTTTCAGGCTTATCTGGGTTAATCATTTATAAACTGAAGTTGATGTTTTTTTTTTGTGGGAAAAATCTAGATACATACTTGTAATATTTAACTTTTATCAATGTTGTATGTACTATCATATATGTTGCATGAAACATATATATTTTATTTGGAAATGAGTGTCCAAGGAGGTTTATAAACTAGCTTTACTTGAATTAATTTTATATAACCGACAAAACAAGATAAGTGAGAACGATTGCTACAAGATTTTATCATTATAAAAAAAAAAAAAGGTTTATATTTCTATATGAAACCGAACACCTGAGGGCCTAACATGAAATGTTTTCCGAAATTTCGGATCTGAACGAAACACAAATTTGATGTTCAAATTACATAATACATACCGTTTAAAAATATTAAAAATGCTAAAGAATCGTTCCTTTGGACTTTTATGGTAGGATTTATGACAAACGAAATGTTAACCTTCATTTACAGGGACGATTTCGATATGAACAAAAACACGAAATTGAGTCCGAAAATTCGGAATTTCATTTCATGGTAGACCCCCTGATCGTTTTCATCATACCAACTACCATATTACCAGAGATATATCTAAGTATTTCTACTTATAAAGATAAATTACAAATTCCATAAAATCAAGAGAAAATAAGAATATGAAATGAACATATGTTTTAAAAAATAGTTTTTATAAATGTCTTAGGAATACGAGGGACAGTCAACTACAGTCACCTGATTGTTTTGTATCTATTAATTCACATTTATACTAACATTATTCAACACAATTCTATAATTCTAACAAACCTACAAACTAACTCTTTTAATAAATGTATTAAATTTATCACAACACTGTTTCTTATTATCTATTTATTATTTTCATACTGAAGTAAAGAAAATAATTTTCTATAAGTACTTACAAGATATTGCCCAGTAAAATTGAGTTCTATTATTTATGAAATATCCTTAAATAATACAATAAAATAAGACCCTGTTTCATTGAAAATATTATAAGGTATACTATTGCGTATAAAGAAACTGGTTTATATGCAATAATAATAATAATAAACTTATTTAAAACTATCCAGTAGTAGGCGTTTTTAATGTAGATTTTATTAACACACTTCTAATTTTTTATAATGAATTGTTGACCTTCGGATATTTATTTTGTGTTATCCAAAGAGATCTATCCCTATTTAAATACTCTGTACACAGGCCCTGATATCGTAATATTTGTAAAAAAATCTACGAAAATTACTACGAATAGCAACGAGCTCACAGCCTATTTAATGGGAATTACTAGTCCTTGTCTAGGCGTGAGGTAAATGTGTGTTTGTATGTATGTCTATAGACAAGAATAGCATACACTAGAATCGACATTAAAGCACATTTTCTATTCTTAAAATAAAAATTGTAATTCGAAATGACAGAGAAATGATAAATTTAAAGACTAGTATAAATTATTTTAGTAGAGTTGCATCTGAACTGTTTTAATTCTCTATGGTCGATATCATAATGATTTTGTTATACTGTCTTTTAATTAAAATTGTCATTTTGGTGTTAAGTTTAGGGAATGGTACCTCAGAATCAACCCTATGCGTACTATTTTTAAAGACTAAGGTATTACGTATGCCTTCATATCCAATTCACTACTTTTTTATTCATACCTTCAATTCAAAACTTTCAAAAAGTTATTCTAATATATCCCATTTATATTATAAATATGAATATTTGTATTCATGGAGGGATAGATGAATGGATAAATGTTTGTGACTCTTTCTCACAAAAATTACTGGACGGCTTAGAATGAAATTTGGTATACGCGTAGATTATATCCTCAGCACATAGGATACTTTATGTATTGATCCACGCACGTGAAGACACAGGGATACAGCTAGTATATGAATACATAGTAGAAGCTCTTTAACTATGAAACCATTTAGAAACTGCTGAAAAGTCTTTGGTTGAAAGTGGTATAATTAGAATAGATATAATTTCGCCTACTATCTTTCTTAGCGGCTCCATTTTTACTGAGCAAACTCTTCCAGTACATTTTATTATAATATTTATAATTTTAATCTATTATAGGCTAGTTTTAGTTACAGTCGTTTTATCTTCACTATCTCGTGGTGCTCTGTCTTGATCTTGGGCTTCTTTTAATGAGTCCGGTAGTTTCATATTGTTTGTTTCGGGTAGAGTGAGAACAAGGAAGGACGACAGGCCCGCCATCACGCCGAACAGTATGGTCGGCAGGTTGTCGTAGTATCGCGCCTGAAAATAAAATATTTTAATTAAAATAAATGACTTTGATCACCGTTAGTTGCAGGTTTGATTTCCGCACAATACAATTTTTTGTATTCATGAACATATCTGTTTGTATTAGTCTGGGTATTTTCTATGTATATATACATACATATCTGTCACGCCTGTCTCCATCTCCTCTCTCCCCTTTCTATGTATTTATTTATTTATACTTTATTGTAGTAACGATAGTATGTTCATAAAAATATAACATAGGTGAATAAATGCACAAAGGCAAGCTACACTTTAAAAGAGTTCTCTTCCAGCAAACCCAAAGTGGAAAGGAGCATCAATGTCAGCGAATAAAGTATAAGTATATGTATATATAAAAAAAAAAGTATTTAAGTACATATCAGTTACCTAATATCCATAATATAAAACTTTGTGTTTGGGATTTAGATGGTGTAATATTGCTGTCATCAGTCGTTAAAATGTCCACTGCTGAACACAGACACCCCCATAAGGGGATTTTGTCAGAAGTTGCCACGCTTGGTAGGCGGTTTGGCAACTGCAATTTGGCTTTTGGTGATATTTTAAGAGGAACGTTGTTGTCTATTCCTTCGTTGTCGTAAGAGGCGACTAAGAGAGGGCGAGGGATGGGCAGCAGCGTCCGTCTTAAAAAATCTCTGAAGCCTGACTGTGGTTGCCAATCCGCTTGCTAAACATGGCAACTACTAGCAAAACTCTTTAAGAGGGAGGCTTATGTTCGCAGTGGACAGTTAAAGGCCTATATGATGATGAAATGAAACTATGTGACGAAGTATCCTCAACCTTTACTTTCTATAGATTATCACGACACAATAGATTCGGAGATATCACGATCTCATTACATCTTCCCATTAGGAAAGATCGAAGTAAATTGCGTGACTCTTTAATGTTTAAATTAATTTATTTGCAGCAATTATGTTTAATGAATTATAATAATTACTGTATAAATCTACTCAATAATGCAAATACTAACTTACAGTATTCTTCAAACTGCTCGACTGTGAAAAAATATATTTTTTATAACATTAAGAATGGCAAACTAGATGACGGTCTGCCTGATGGAAAGTGGTAACCGTCTATAGGCCTGACGACTACGGATATAGTAAAGTATATTACAATGTCCATGGTACTTCTCATGCGGAGGAGGGGAAGGGTTGTTAGTAATGGGATTTAGCAGCCCCATAGTTACCAAACCATGGTTAATTCTTAATGAATTCGTCACGATGGGCCAACTGACCTGCTTTCATTTTCACTTATCATCCCGCTGGTGCCCCGTACGTGTATATCGAAAGTACAAGCAGGTTACCCATCTTCATCCATTAAAAAAAAACCCACACGCGGTTTCATTTCTGAGGATTAAGGTGACATGCCTCTGTACCCTGTAATTACACCGTCATATCCTATCTATCCATCATATCCTACCCTTCAAGTCGAAACACATCAATTCTTACCAGTAGAGGAGTTTGTGGAGCGACAGTAGATCCTGTCCTTCCAATCGTAGAACATATAGCCAGCAGTGTAGTTCTGTAGTTCGTTGGGAAGACCTCAGCGGCGAACACGTACAGTGAATTGTAAGCTAAGGTTATGAAGAACTTCCCGCCCAAATAGACGATTAACGACCACGTGCCAGCTAGAAAAGAAATAAAAAATTCATGACACATTTGCTTAATTTCATATTTTGTATGCAAATTTTCGTTGCTCTATTTATTGTTGTATATACATATGATTTGTATGCAAATGAAGAAATTTGATTCATACATTCCATACATTATGATTTTATATTTATTTAAATAACTTTATTTGTTCAATAAGAGAAAATATCGTCATAATCGTAGAATACTGACGGATCTTTATATGTAATTTTTGTCAGATCCGTCAGTATTCTACGACTATGACGATATGATAGTCATTTAAGTAAATAAAAATATAAAATGATTTCTAGAGAGAATCATATGGTGGTCATATTTTGTCTACCACCATAGTTATGACCAATAACACATATTGTTAATAATAGGTATCCTGCATTATACAGTTAACAGTCCTCTATATTCAGTGATAAGAGGACATAGACCGAACAGTGCGGCTTCAATTCAATTCAATAATTTATTGCATTTTCATTTCACGGGATATATCGTGAATGTAGGATACAGTTCTGTTCCGAGCTATTACCTAGAGACTTCAGTATGGGGTTTTTCAAAAAGGATCTACTAAGATCTCTTTAGGGTCGGCAACGTAACATCCATAGTGTTGCAGGCATTTATAAGCTAGTGACTGTTTACCATCACACCGGTTGCATGCTAGTTTGTCATCTTCGTTGTACAAAAAAGAAAATTTGAGAAGTAAATAATTAAGGCTAGAATAATTATATAATAAAAAAAATTAATCTATTAATTAATTAAATTAATCACGATTGAATCACGTTTAATAAACGCGATGAAATGAAGGTGAGAACTAACTGTAATATGGATATACTTACGCAGACTGGTAAGTAGAAAGGGCCAGTACCATATTAAAACGGGTATGTAAATTGACTTTAAAATATTTAATATCTTATAGGTATTTGAGATACGTAAACATGATTAACATAGTAACTGCGTTAATCTAATGTATGCGTCGTAGTAAATAGTTCAAATAGGTTTATGTTGTTGTCTATTTGTCTGTTATTGTATAATGTTCAGGTTATTTTATAAGTTTTATTTTATGTACTCCAAAATTAAAGGAGCCCTGAAAGGCTTCCTATTAACGATTTTTTCATTTAGACAGAAAAAACCTTAAAATAATGATAGGGACAATAACGGGCCATTGACCATTAAACAAACATTTATACACAATAGGAGCCACAGACAGCCCTCTATGTCGAGGCTGTTTCGACGCCGAAGAAGCTGCTCACGTAATCCTGGAATATGAGACTGTGGCCCATCAACGTTTAGAAATCTTCGGAACGGTGATTGTTAAATATTAGCTAGATTGGCTGTACTAGCCACGACTTATACGCACAACGGCCCAAATGAGAAGCTAAGCGCGGAAAATAGAGTCCTATTCACATTTTAAGGCTTCCTATTTATCATCATCTTCATCATTTCAGCTTTTAACTGTCCACTGTTAAACATAAACCTCTCCCATAGGGAGGTTTTGCTAGTTGTTGCAATGCTTGGCAGATGGATTGACAACCGCAGTTAGGCTTTGAAGATGTTTTAAGAGGGACGCTGCGGAACGTCCCTCGCCCTTCCTTGGTCGACTCTTCACGACACTCACGGGAAAGGAAGGGGTGGCCTATTCTATGCCGGGACCAAACGGCGAACTTCTTTTTACTTATGCTACTGTTTAATTTCTTCAAATATAATAAATAGTAATGATAATCCTTACTAAAACTTAAAAAGTAAAAGTGTGTTTGTTTGTTTGTAACCTCTTAGCGTTTTAACTGCTTTACCAATCAGGTATACACGTACTATTTGTGATGGAGAAGGATATAGACTGTTTTTACCCCGGGTAGTGAACTCAGAGTGTTAACGCAGATGAAGTCGTGGGTTTTCTTGTTTAAGTAAATGTATATCTATACCATGTATAAATTTTTTTTTGTATAAAATAAAAAAAAAAACAAAAAGAGGATATTTTAATGGGTGGGATTATCACATAGTTTGTGATGTGAATGTTTTTTTTTTGGTTAAAAGCAAGATATTTTTTACTACAACGCCATCTATTAAAAGTATTTCGAAGTAGCGAGTCCCATAATAAAGTACTCATTTTAATTTCTGGATTTTTTTAGCTGAACTTTAGGACATATTTTCTTGTTGTTTCTTCTAAACTACCCCTGTATTAAAATGAATGAAACAAAATAAAAAAATATTCAAGTCGGTCAAGCCATTTTTGAGTTTTAGTAAACTAACGAATGGCGATTAATTTTTATATATATAGATCTTACTAAATATAAATTATATAAAGACCCGTAGTAGATTTTACTATCATAATTGTGGTCATATATTTTTAATAAACAACTTTTTGCCTATGATCGTTATATTAGCATTAATATGTTGATGTTGGTACTTACCTACCTACCTACCTACTCGCAGTGACGCAATTATTTGTTAAATAAATCAATGTATTTAGAGGTTTTAAATGTACATATTGTAAAAAACCAGCTTCTTAAACTAGAATATTATCAACATAATACTTACATACCTATTTAAATAAGCAAAAAATGTAATACAAGGAAAGATCATAAAATAGTTATAAAAAAGTACCTACCTACACTTGAAAATGTAAAATAATTATGATACGTTTAATAAGATTGTCATTATTTCTATTAGATAATCATTATTTTCAATTAACAGCTTTTTTAATCCAGCTTGCAAACAAGCTGATGGATAACGGTAACTTTCGTCTACAGACATGAAGTCTCTGTAAACATCACAGACTGTAAGTATCACATATGTGATATAAATAGTACACCTTATGCGTTATCATTAATTACTGCTAAAGATGTTATGTCTTAAATTAAAACACAGCCTTACAAATACATTGCTTTGCGGCAGAATCAAGAATTGACTGGACGTACTCATTCAGCAAATTTTTATATAATTTCTCTCTGATGCATAAATAAATGATAGATTTTAAATTTTCAAGTCTACTTTTTCATTATGCTTTTAAGAAATGCTGTTAAATTATACATACATACATATCTGGCACGCCTGTCTCCCATTAGGGTTGGCAGAAACAATGGAACGTCAAATGCTTCGATTTAAACAAACCTCTTTCGCTCCCATAAATGATAGTCTTTAAAACAACGAAATAAAGAGGAATAAATAAATAATAATTACCTGGCACAAATCCATAGGTGACTAAAATCACTGCAGCCAAGAAATACGCTATCGCAATAACTCGCTTTCTGCCGTATCTATCCAAAAATATCAGTTTGCATACGTTTGCTGGTGCCTCTATTATTATTATCACTATGTAATTTACATAACTATTACCAGATAGTTCTATAGCGTTTATAGATAGTCCATAATATACTAGAGTAGATGATATCCACAAGAAGGAACATATGAACAGTCTCTTCCATATCATCAATGATGTAAGGACTTGTTTGAATGAAGACTGATTGCTTTCCAATGACTCGCATTTCCTAGCGTCTCTCTGTTTTGTGGCTTGTTTCTCGACTTGATCGTAATGATCCTTTGAAATGTACGCATTGTTTATCTTCTCTGATTTACTTAGCACATTGAGTGCCTCTTCATATCTCCCCTTGCTGAAGAACCAACGGAAACTCTCTGTTAGAGTCCACATGTAAATGATGACAAATACAGATGGAGTGTAGATTATGAATAAGAGATATCTCCAGTTTTGCAGCCACCAATATAAGAGGGTGACAGTCACGCCACCTAGTATGAACATGGTGTTGAATAGCAAACTGACGAACACTCTGCCCTTTGGTCCGACCAACTCCAATGCTGAAACAAAATATATATAGTCTTTTAATATTTATGATTTTATTATTATCATTTCAGCCGTTTACTGTCCACTGCTGGAGCATGAGCCTTCTCCATAAGTTTTGCCAGTAGTTGCCATGCTTGGCAGGCAGGTTGGCAACTGCAGTCTTTATATTAAATAGATTAATGCAACGTATTGTATAACTAACTCAATGAATCGACAGTATGGAGAAGAAAAATTCTTGACTGGTTATCCTGTCAATCAATCAAGGGCTTCTTTTTGCCCGCCAGATGATGTGTGGGCGGGCGAGGTAGATTCCTCGGGGCGTACCCCATTACCCCAGCTTCTACTTCGAAGGCGACAATGATCCTGTGAGGGCATACAAGCGTACGGTGATCCTGTAGCATAGTTCCCACTAAATGGAGTGACGACCTCAAATGCATTGCAGAGAGTCAGTGAGTATAGGGGGCTCAGAACCGTTCCTTATAGCAGTCTATGGGGGAGGCCTATGTGCAGCAGTGGACAGATAATGATTAATATTATGATTGTACAATTATCTACTTAAGTTTGGTGTCAATAAATATTATTGTTATTATTACTACGTATATATTTCTTTAATATAACAAGTAGTTTTGGTTCGCAAAAAATAGCAACAGCTGTAGCAACAAAATCAATGTAACTAGATAAGTAATGTTACTATTATCATTTTAAAAGGAATAAACGTACTATTTTTTTAATTGATTACAATAGCTTATAATTATAATAAGTGGTAAAGTTTGTAACGATGGATGTATGGATGTTTGTTACTCTTTCACGTAAAAGCTACTGAACGGATTTGGATGAGATTTAGTACAAGGGTAGATTACATCCTAATTTTATATATAGGATACTTTATATACTGATTCACGCAGGTAAAGCTGCAGGATTCAGCCAGTATTTCATACACACATTAGTAATTTAAAATGCGGAATCGTTTATTTATAGATTTAGTTTTGCACTGGCGAATTGAGAAACTTCTTCTTTTTTTAATTTAGGTACCTCTTGGTAGATAAAGAATTTATTTTACTGACATTCCAAAATAGATACAGAACATTGGATAACGTGTTCTATACATGTAAAAATAGGACTCCATTTTCCGCACTTAGCCTCTCATTTGGGCCGTTGTGCGTATGAAAAGTTGTGTTCTATACATACTTTGTTTACTATTTTTTAGATGACGTTACTACTTACCTATTACAAAGTAGAAAAAAATTATGCGAGATAACCATCTCACATAATTTTTTACCACATTTTTTGTTTAGTTTATTTTATGAGTTGTTAATTGTTTATAGGAAATTCGTGTTTTTTTTTTTGTGGTAAGAAAAAAAACAGGGTTATATTGAAATGGAGAATTAAAAGTTTTGTGCGAGAGTGGAAATAAAAACTATTCTTTAATGAAGAAAACATAATTACAAGTATTTTTAAATAATAATTTTTATAAGCTCATTGGAAATGTAATTTTAGTTAAGAAGAACTGTCCGTTCTCTTTAGCTAAACTTAACTAAAAACTTAACTCTTGCTTTTATTAATAAAAGTTGATTTTACAATTAAAAATTTGTGTCTAGAAAATTGTACATAATTTAATAAGACAAACCAAGCGCTTTATTATTATACTTATTAATATAATATAGTCTATCATTAGTGTAGTTCGTAATATTATTTATTTATTTATTTATTTAACTCTTTACTGTACCAGAAATAAAAATATATAATGGCAAATCACTCAAGTGAAAAACAGTAACATAAATACAGATTGAAATATATAAAATTTAAAATTATTATAGATAAACAGCTACAGACGTATCTATATTGACTCACCAATTATATAATACATATATACAATGGAGAATTACATTATGATCATATAAATATACTTATATGAATACATTAAACAAATATTACTTACAATACAAATATATACCATTTTTTTTTAAATATTTACTTTGTGATGTCAATAAATTTACTAGTATTTTTTCTGTTCATGATAATTTTAAAATCCTTGAGAGGTAGAGTATCTATATCCATATTTATATTATAATATTATAAACAGAAATTACTTGATTGTTTGTTTGTAATTAATAAATTTAAAATCTATTCAATCGATTTTGAAAATTCTTTTACATATAAAAAACTATATTATCAGCGAGTAAGATATATATAATTTTCAAAGAAGAAGGGGAGCGAAGAAGAAGAGTAAAAAGTACAGTTCACGATAAAGTACTGTCCCGAGCTACTGGCTTCTATCGACTACGCGATACTTTTATGGTTGTGACTGTAACGTGGAGGTCGTTCTATATAGTGCTTGCAAGTTGGTTTAGATGCGAGTTTTGTTATTTCATTGTTTTAAAGTTTTTTTTTTTTTATTTATTTAATTATCATACATAAATACATTAAAAAAATTGGATTTTTAGTATCACTTAAACCTCTTGGGCTTGTGTGTGATACTTTACATTCGGTTCTCAATGTTCGGTCTCAATGTGTTTGTAATGATGCATTATAAGTGATAAATTAGTAAATATACAAATGTCTATAGCTTCAAAAACTTTCACACGTCTTCACAAATTATCATATATTAGACAGATACCTATATTATATTGATGTACATTATATAACAGTGATTGACGTCGCAATACTGTTTTGAAACTAGTATTTTTATGCCTCTAATATAATTTGCCAAATGTCCTTGTACATATCCATACTTTATATCTGTTTTATTTGTTATTAATTTTAATAAACGCTGTAAATTAACTGTTTATAGCCTGTTTTAGTAGAACTATTATTAAAAGGTAATCAAGTTTTGTTGAAATTATTATAGAATTACTATTTTTTTTTATACAACTTAGAATGGCAAACAAGCTGACGGCCCACCTGATGGAAAGTGGTAACTGTCGCCTATAGACATGAGCAGAACTATGGACAGAACAGAGTATACTGTTTCGCCCATGATACCCCGCATGCGTAAATTCACGCCATATCCCACCCTTCAAACCGAAACACAGTCATGTAAACACAACTGCTTCACGGTTGAAATACGAATGGGACAGAGGTATCCAAGCAATCGACTTTTGTACAAAGTCTCCTTTTGGTGGTTACTCGCCAAAAATGAGATTAATTACAATTCGTAATGTTCTAGCATTTAATTGATTTTTTATTTGTATTATATTATTGTGAGGTGGTGGTACAGCCTTGTAGGTCCCGGCATAGAATAGGCCACCCTTTCCTTCCCGTGGCTGTTGTAAGAGGCGACTAAGGAGTGCGAGGGATGGGCAACAGTGTCCCTCTTAAAACATCACTAAAAGCCAAACTGCGGTTACCAAGCCACCTGCCAAGCGTGGCAACTACTGGCTAAACCCTTCTTATGGGGGAGGCTATATTCAGCAGTGGGCAGTTAACGGCTGATACAACAGTAATTACTACTATTGGACATCAGTAGATTGTTTTATGGTCAGATTAATTATTTATTTTTTACATTTTTATTAAGTTTCAATGAAACATATAGCATGTCTCGATAAAATTTAATTTACAAAATAACAAGTAGAATACCAGGTTATTATATTATATAACATCTGAGTCCTCAGGAATGGCAACGCATGGGGGGTATCATGGGCGAAACAGTATACTCTGTTATGTCCGTGGTACTGCTCATGTCTATAGGCGACGGTTACAACTTTCCATCAGGTAGGCCGTCAGCTTGTTTGCTATTCTAAGTTGCATAAAAAAAAGATATTTAATTGTTTTCAGTATAACGCACACGGCAACTTTCTACTATTGTACAGCTCGCCATCGACAGGGAATTCACACTCGTACCTTAGAGTCTGGATAGTCGCGTACAGCGCGATTGCAGAGATGTTTTCTCCCACGTACGCTCAGGTATTTGGTATAACCCTTTCGATATTTTTTCAAGATATGAATAAGAATGGGGTTCTTCAAAAAGAGAAGTCGGCAACTCGTTCGTAATGCACCTGGTATTGCAGGCGTTAGATGGAGACATATTGCGAGGACCTCAATCGCGAAGGAGAGCCTCACCGACGATCCACCGTCATTGTGAAAACCACGACCACTCTGCCAAGAGTGTACGACTGAAGAGAGAGATTGCAGGCGTTCATAGGCTACGGTAATCGCTTACCATCAGGTGGGCTGCATGCTCGTATGCCACCTCAGTGGTATAAAAAAAACATTTGATAATGTTGATTGTACTTGATTTTCGTATTTCAAATATTTTTATTTTACACTGTACGAGGAAGTATTTTATGGCGATATTTTCCTCTAAGCATCCACAGTCATGCGTCATCTGCTATACACCACGGACACAATGGTAAGAAAGTGCCTAAAATGAAACGGACGGAAACTGCTGTGACGCGCAAAAACAGCAATTAGTTACGACGAAGTAATGAGCCGGAAAGCGAAGGTGAACGACGGATTTAAATGTTTAGTAATTAAATTAAGACTAATTAAATTAAGACTAATATAATAATGAGTACGGATAATATTTATATTATTATATGTATCACATCTCCCATATTTGGAACTAACAGAATTTTTCATCGTGCCTCCCACCAAATTGTTTACTCCTCTCCATCCAAAGGTTTCCTGGAAGAGATCGCTCTTAGCGATAAGGTCGCCCATTGTTTTCTCATTGTGATTATTTCTTGTAATTATTTATATTTATAATAAGTTTACTATTGTAAATCTTTTGGAGGAAACAATACAAATACAATACAAAGAGTACTAGCTTTTATCTGCGGCATCATTCGCGTAACCGGGATATGTACACTGATTGGGATGAAGTCTATGTTCTTCTCCATCTCGTATAGAATGTGTATACCAAATTGCATAGTGATTGGTTAAGCTGTTAAGGCGATAAGAAGTAACAAACAACCAAATTTTTTTTTGTATTATCGTAGACCAATGTTTCATCTTTTTCAAAAAAAAAATAAAGAGAACATCTTGCTCTGTAAATAATAAGTAAGTAAATATATTT